CCCCAAAACCCCAAAACCCCAAAACCCCAAGAATCAAAATATACATTTAACAAGTGAATATAGATATTTAAAAATTAAATTAGAGATATTTACTAATTTTTAATATCTTAAGAGATGGCAACTGACGATAAATACGACAGATAAGTCAGACTTTGGGGAAGACATGGCTAAAAATTGTTGAGTACTTCCAAAGTTCTTTTGCTTGGAGCAAATGCTTCTGGAACTGAAACTCTCAAAAACTTGGTTTTACCAGGTGTTGGTTCTATTACCATTGTAGATGGAGGGCTAGTATCAGAGAGAGACTGTGGCACCAACTTCTTTGTTACTGAAGATACTATTGGTCAATCAAAAGCTCATGTATGTTATTAGGAATTATAGTAATTTAAAATTTTCAGGTGATGACCTAGAATCTTTTAGAATTGAATCCAGATGTTTCTGGCGATCATATTTAGCACGATGTAGATAATTTCGTGTCTACTCAAGCAGATCTGATAAAAAATTACAATTTAGTGATTGCCACAGAAGTGAATCTGGTAACAATATCTTCACAGTAAATAATATTATCAGAATACTGAATTGGAGTTAAGCAAGATAGCTTAACAATGTGGAGTCTCACTTATTATAATCAGACAATATGGATTGATTGGATATATAAGAAACTATAAAAAGGAAAGTACAGTAGTTGAGTCTAAGCCATCTGATGTTATTGTTGATGATCTTAGAATCTCGAATCCATTCCATGAGCTTAAAGAATATGCACTTTCAATCAACTACGATGATTGCGATGATATGATCCACTCTCATATTCCTTACAATGTCATACTTATCAAAACTCTTGAGGATTGGAAATCAACAGTAAGTTTAATATAAATTATTAAAAACATAGCACGAGGGAAAACTTCCATGTAATTAACAAGAGAAGGATGAATTTAGATCAATATTGAAAGGTAAATCAAGAGATTTTTCAAAAGAGCTTAATTTTAATGAGGCTATGGACAAGGTATTTAAGTGTTTCCAAAAGCCATCTGTGAGAGATTCAGTTCAGGATATTTTTGACGATCCTAAAATAGATGACGTTTCTGAAAAATCTAACTATTGGCTTCTTTGCAGAGCATTGAAAAGGTTCCATGAAACTCATGGAGATTTGCCATTAACTGGATCACTTCCAGATATGACTTCAACGACTGATTTCTACCTCACCTTATAGCGAATGTAAACTATTATAAATTTACTAAATATAGACATTTATAAAAAGCTGCAGAAGATTAATAATAGTTTGAGGAGATACTCTTGCAAGTTTGTAATGAAGCTCAAGTTTAACCATCATAAATTCAGCCAGAAGATATAAAATAATTCTGCTTGAACTGTCAAATCTTAGAAGTCACTAAATTTGACTCGCCAGAGCAAGAATTGACAGCTCCTGACTTTGATGACTTACTAAATGAATTATTTGATGATGAATCAGCTGCTCCTTGGTATGTTGTGATTCGAGCAGTAGAAAACTTTAGAGCTAAGAATTAAAGGCATCCAGGGCAATCTGAAGATTAATTTGAACCTGATTTCTTAAGTCTAAGGTAAGAAGTAGATTCAATTCTATCAAAGATATCCCCAGATGGTTCTGCCAAAATTGATGATAAATACATAAGAGAAATTATAAGGTTCAGCGACTCTTAACTTCACGTGATTAGTGCATTTTTAGGAGGAATAGCATCTCAAGAAGCTATTAAGTTGCTAATTAGCCAGTACACACCTTTTAATCATACTCTCATTTATGATGGAATTCAGCAGAAATGCCAAGTAATCAAAGTTTGATAAAGAAAATTCTATTCAGCATTTAATATTTTCATAGAGCCTTTGATATAGCATTAAGGGGTTTTGGGGTTTTGGGGTTTTGGGGTTTTGGGG